TTTCTAGAAGTCATATGCAGTTAGAATTGTGGGTTAAAAGATGTGTATATATGTATGTGTGTATATATATATACACACTCCAAATCCCAGAAGATTTCAGGTGCTTTTAGAAGTTCTTTTCAGAATCAGGTTTGCAATAGTAAGCTTTTTCTGCAAGTCACTGCATGCTTTCTGAATTTAACAGCACATCAATGTTTTACGCCAAATTTTTAATCCCCGCTGGAAGCAGAGTATGTGTAAAAGGCTTTTTTTTAAAAAAAAAAAAGGAAAAAAAAAAGTCAGGCACTTGGTTAGAGCCTGTCAAAAGCTTATCTGAACTTGTAAATCCTTTGAGATTTCCCTTTAACCATAGGTTTTAACTTTATCTCAGTGTCAGTACAAGTTTTCTGTGCCAGTACCAGGAAAATATAAAGTATTTGAACTTAAAGGCCAATATCTAATCGATAACTTTCTATAAGATTCTTCCATTCCCCTTCATCATTAGATGTTTTTGAGTACTGAAGGCACAAAGTGCTCAGTCTGACAACCAGTGAAGTTAGTAATGCATGAGGTCTGATGGATCCATTGCTGGAATTCCACACCAGCAATCCTAGTAAGAGTATTACAGTAGTAAGAGTACCGTGAAGCTTCTAAAACAATCTAAGAACTTTAATTATGTATTTGTAATTAACTGTAGGTATAACAGAGAGCATTACTCCAGGGAACTATGTGAAAGGGGAGAGTGAGAGGGAGTATCTGACCTTGTCTGCTAAAATAAACGGGCATAAGTTAGGGAATAGCAGAAAAAAGCTGATTCTTAAGCCTTAAACTTGAAAGACTTCCAATTTAGGAAAGAGTAAAAAGGCTTGGTAGGAACGGTTCTTAAGCGAATGACACCATCTTCCATAAGCCTCCAATCTTCAGAGAAACTGGAAACAGTATCTTAGGTGAAAAAAATATTTTATTAATATTGTTTGGGTAGAGTCCTTGCATTTCATTACATTGATGCAAAAAAAGACATTCTGGAGTGTTAAATCTAGAGTACTGTCATTAAACTGGCTGGTAGGAGGCACAACTAACTTGCACTAAGTCAGTTCCAGGGGGTCACAAAACATGTAAGCTGATATTTCTCTCTTGCTGGTCTTGAAAATAAATTTTAACTTTTTAACTTTTTGATCTTATTTATGAAAACTTTAACTTTTAGCAACTGATATAATTCATCAGAAGTTGTGTCAAATAGTAAGGAACTTTATTTTCCTATGGCACCTTTAATTTTTTTTAAAATCATTTAAGTGGATGGGGTAGGATTAGAGAATACCAAAGCAGAATACTTAGATTACTTACCACATGAAGAATTTTATTTTCTGTTTCATACACTGTACAATCCTGTAGTAAAATAAAACAAAAACAATTAATGCACATTATTTTAAGTTTCCTATTAAGAAAGAAAAGAATGCTTTATGCTGATAACTCTCTCTTACACAAGTACCTGTAAAGACAAATAATCTCTTGAGTTTTGTCATGTCCAAAAGGTTACTTTACAATCTTATGAAACTTGACTTCTCTTGTGGCTGGTTAACCTCAGGGATCTATTCTTCCCTTTACAGTCATGAAACTCTCGTGCTCAATACTAGCAACAATATAAACCTAAGGCAGAGGGGACAGATTCATGATAGTGAGAAAAAAGTAGTTGAATATAATTAATCCAGCATGTCAGAAATTCAATGATGCGCAGAGCGAGAGATACATTGCCTAGCCTTAAATCAGGCAGAATGTTTGCTAGCTGTTCTGCAAGTTGTGTGGGGTGCAAACAGTTGTGTCAGACCTACCATTAGGTAGATTGTGTTACTACAAAGCATGGGAAGGAAGAGCAAACAGAGAATATTTTGACAACAGGTACAATGCTGATGTTAAACGTGGTGTGTCCACGATGTCAGTTTGGTTCACTCCATCTTTTGCTTCAAGGCCCTGACTGTCTACACCATCCACAAAGGACAGGAAGCAGCAGTGGTCCCATATCTTGAGAGAAGTCACATAACTGCTCCAGGTTTGGACTTTGGAAGGCACAAGTCACACCAAAAAAGGATGAGAAAGGACACGGGCTTGCTCATGTTGAGCACCGGTCCAGGGATATCCAGGGGGTTTTACTGCCTTAAGGCCTCCCAAAGAACAACTCCATCCCAGCTTTCCATCACACAACATTGCTGTTAAGGAATTTAAAGTAGGCCTGAAAAACAACATTCCTGATCAACCTCTTTATTTGCTTAAGACTTGTAACTTCTAGAGCAGTCATTTTCCTATTTTAGTTATCATTTTAAGAATAATAAGTCTTATCACTACATAACTTAAGAGTCATTACTCCCTTAACTTGCATTTTGATTTAGTGGTATTACAGTGGCTAGAATATTACTTTTCCTTCATGAAACAATGCATACAAATTTCTAGAAGAGATCTACTGCCTTTTAATGTTTTGAAGATTTCCTCAGTACAATCTTCTACAAAGCAAGACACAGTCATGGCAAGACAATATTTAACCCTTTCCTACAGGAGAGGGCCCAAGTGCACTGAGGCAGCTCTATCCCACCCTTCTCCTGCCAGTCAGCACTCCCAGTCACCACACGGGCTCTCAAGCTATATTTTACCAAAACATACAATTAAAAGGAAAATACAGGAAACTCAAGTTTGCCACGCAGAGTGAGATTAGAATAGACTCCCCAAAAAACTTTGTCACCTCTGAGGCCAGCCGCAGCGAGGGCCGCAGCCCCCACGGCCAGGCTCCCTCTGCCCCCAGCCCCAGAGTTCCAGAACCTTCCACCACTCGCCCGAGGGAGGCAGCCCACCACACTCCTACACGGTGAGCACCGGCCTGTGACACCTACCTGACGTCAAAGGGGTGCTTTTCTGTAACAAAATCTGAGGAGGAAATATTTCTGATGTATCCCAGCATCTCCCTGCGTTCAAGGAGACTGACCCCCTGACCCTGTGGCTGGCGGGAGTCCCAGAGCCCTGTGAGGGAGGGAATGAAGAGTCCGCCACAAAACATACTGAGGGCCAGGCAGGGTGGGATCCTCACCTCGCCAGGGGCCTCGTTTATCATAGGAATCTTGTTTATAATGCACTGATTATTTACATTTAAGGGAATTAATGGTTAATAACAGAAAAAAGTATGTTGGGAAATTGCTAAATACTTCTCCAAATGCTATGTCACATTGGAAAAAACTTTCTACAAAGCAAGATAAGGATTTCAGGACATATTTTTAAGGATGAGGATATGACAGGTAAAAAACCTGTCTTGTTTATTTGTCTTTTTTCCTTGAAGAAGTTTTTAAGTAAAATTTAACTTACTGATATATCTAAAAGATCCCCTCAAGTAACTTAAGATTCCCTATAGTTCTCAAGATTTCCTCTTTCCTGGATCTTAATATGTTAGCAATAACAGTTAATTGCTTTAAAATTCCCATGAAATAATTCCAACATCCTCACTCCATTTACTCTAGAAGTAGATTAGCTATATGATCAGCTTAGGCTGTGGTACTCTCTGTGAGAGAAATATGCGCTGGCAGATCTCTGCTCCTCTTGTCCGGCAGCTCAAATCCTTGGCTCTGTCCCATCCACTGAGGCCGTGTCCAGCTCTTGAACCTTCTTCCTCGGGTGCTGCTTTGAGGACCCTGGCCCTCAGCCCATCTGAGGCTGCTGCAGAGCAGCTTTAGCCTGTCTGAGCCACTCAGCCCTGGGTACAGGCCTGGAGAACAGGTAACTGTCACACCCTCAACTCTAAGGGTCACGTTTATTTTGGAGGATTGGCATTTTTGTGGAGAAATTAATTTCTAAGTGAATGCAGTTTAAAAAATATTGTTACAGAATAAGAAAGTTAAAATCAGAAGATTGTCAGTGCCAAGGAACACAGAGAAGAATTTATATTAGCATTTCATGGTCAAGTATCCCTTTGATGTTTCTTCTGTATTCATACTGTTATTTTCTACAGCACAAAAGAAGAATTCAATTAGTCAGTTTGGTTGGCAATGCCCAAGGCATTTTCTCCTACAAGTTTTACACACTTCAAACAGCACATCCACCATCTCCTTTTAACCCTACAATTACCAAGAGAACAAAATGATCACAGCAAGGCTTACAGCTTGACTTCAGAGATAATGCTCCTTTTTAAATTATTCCTTTAATTTCTGTGCTAGAACTACAATATGAGCTTCACTCTGAACAAACTTAATTACTTCAGGTCAAAAACTAGAGGGTTTATGTATAGTAAAACTGAAATTTTACTGTTTTGTAGAGCAGAATTAATGTTAGCTGTACTTATGTTGCACATTCAAGATTACATTAGCATTAAAAATGTTAATGGCTTTGGGATTCCTTCCAAAATAGATGCATATTGACTTTTTTTTAAATACATCAGACTAGTTTAACTGAGAGGTTAAAATTACTTGCAATATTATTCTAAAATATTAAGATATGTAGGTCACAATATTCTTCTGATTTGTTTTTCTCTGATACATAGCAATGCACTAGCGATCTCATAAAAAAAAAAAATCTTCCAGGACTAACATTTATAGAATTTTGATCTATTTTTCTTAGAAAATAAATAACAGTTATAGTGATATTCTTTCTACATCCTCCATAAGCAAGACGACATGTTAATTTTTTTTTCTTAGAGTTTAAAAACCTCTTAAATTAATAGCTGCATTCTATTTCCCCTCTGTAAAATGGTAAAATACAGGAATTATAAAAATAGCCACAGCAGCAGTATTACATACAAGCCAGCTTCTGCACTATCCAGAACATCCTACCTTTCAAAGGTACGGTACAGCTTCATAACTCTGACAAAGTAAAACAGCATTCTTTCGAATATTCATAAAGAGGAAAGGTCAGTATGACTTGTGCTCACCCACACTATATTCATAATTCTAGTTTATAATTCCAAAAGAAAAAAATGCAAGTACTACTGAAATTTGCAGATACCATAAAGAATGTTTTATGACAAGTCCTGAGGACAGTTAACTAACACATAAAAAGACTAATACATGTAAAATATTTAGTTCATTAACTTAGTACAATAAAACAGCACAAGTCAACTACTGAAAAGAAACAGAGACCCTATGAAGGAGCAGCTCAGAAGAGAACTTATAACCTTGTGTTGTTTGCCAGTTGAATACCATTTCCCAATATAACACTGCAGTGAAGACCTACTGCAATCTTTGAAAGGTGGATATGACAAAATTATATTTAAATGTATATTGCTTCGATACATAAAATCAAACACTTCCTGAATTCATACATTAAAAAGAATGAGATTGCATTGAAATTAGGCAAATATACACCAGTATATTACATTAAAGTAACTTATTTTACTTGGTTTAATTAAGGTGAAGACATGATCATAATCTATATTTATAAAACAGTGAACAGATGTTTGATAACAAAGTTCTTTAGAAAATGCAAGCAAAATAAGATTAAGGGGCTGAAAGCTGAAGTCTGCAAAGTTCAACCTGAAAATAACACCCACATTTTTAATGGCAGTTGCTGAATCACAGAATAATTCAGGTGGAAGGGACCTCTGGAGGTTATCTAGTCCAACCACCTGTTCAGAGGACGGCTAATTTAAAAGTTAGACCAGGTACAGGCAACTACTAAGAATCAACAATTTCATCAATTGCAGGATGAACTAGATAGCTTTAAAACACATATGCTTCATCCTAAACGCAAAGTATTTGACTAAAACCAGAGTAAAGATCTGTGATATGGTCTCTGAATTTACCCCAGTGAGGTTAATTAACATTAATAAAGGGGAGAACAAGCAACATTTGTTTGGCTTTTGTTGGAAAAAAATTAGCCAGAGCTGTGTTGACATTCTTTGGTAAGATACAGACAAAATTTTTGTTTAGAGGTTGTTTGTTCATGCAGTTTAATGCATGTATCAAAAGCATCTAGCACAGGTTTAAACATCTTTGACATAATCAGGAAAAAAAAAATAAAAATCAGAAAACCAACTTCCAGTAGAACTAGTGAACTCTTTCTACTCAATGAAAAATTAACCAATGGCTACATTTTACGAACCAAATTCCAAACCTATTCTTCCACAGTTATTGCAGTTATATTTCCCCCAGGGTAGCCTTGGCACTATAGCATGACCAAATCGAAATTAAGTTAGTCTGGTGGGGATTCATTTTCAGAGCAAAAATGAGAGCTAGTCTACTTGAAGTATAGCTAGAACTATACTTCAAAATGAAGTCCACAGAGAGCTCAAACATTTGCAATACTCTGACCTAACATGCTTTTTTTGCACATTATCATCAACACATTTTGATGGGACATTGCACCTCAAACTCAGGATGTTTCTGCAGCTTTCTGCATAATGCTATTTTTTTGTAGTTTCCCTACTTATTTTAGTGGAGGTGAGATAGTGAGGGATAAGAAAACGGAGTAGAATAAAGTACATTCCCAAGCATAAATGGACAGGTATAATCCTTCTCTAAAACTAAAGAATAAAGATCAATGTTCTTATAACCAGTATGAGAAGATACTATTTACAGATAAACAAGTGACTGCTTATTCATTGTAACATTTACATGGTATGTAAATAATAATACCCCACATTGCAGTTCATCTGTTTGGTGTGATCTCATCTTCACACTCACACAGAGAAAGAATATGACCTAAAAGCTAAAAAAGCTACTTCCTGATTAGATCTCAGAGTATGTCACTCAGATACATACAGTGCATCCTAGCAAGAAGATTCATAAGCAGTGTCTATACTAAACTAAGGTTACATAGTAATGCCCCCTATTTAGAAGGAAGTTTACCTTGAGTGGCAGCTGTAAGTTATGCATGCTTGAACACAAAGCATGTTCATTTTGCACAAAATAAGTCTTCAGATTGAAGACATTCCTCACTTAATGTGCCAAATGCATAGCCTCGATGGCTACTTTCGCACTGACTAAATTAGATATCTAAAATTTATATCATTAATAAAACAGGAAGTATCTGAAAGTATCTGAGATCTAGGTTTCTATTAGTTATGCCTTTCAATTCATAGTTTAGCCTACAGTTAAGACTGCAATTCTAGTTTAGGTGAGACATTTCTGCATTCACACATTAAGATCAATTTTCCTCAGATTTAGTAACAGCAAAACTGTCTCCCTGTGAATGATCTTGTTTTACCTACTCTTTCTGGTGCTAAGTTTAATACACTGTAAAAAGATCTTAATAGATGACTATCAAACAACCCAGATTTGACAATAAGATAAGGAAAAGACAAAACTTAATTTGTAACTCACCCGAAGAACCAACTAAACATTTTTCATCTTGGAATATCTTGGAGTTTATGCTAAAAGATAGATTGTTTTCAAGTTGTCAAAAGGAGGACAGCTTTGGGAGTGAAGTGGAGTAGAAGAATTGAAAAAAAAAAACAACCCCAAACTATTGCTGGCAGAGGAGAACTGAATTTGACCTGCCAAAAGCAGTGAATGAATGACAGAAATTGAGAGAACAATTCAAAATTATACTATTTTCACCTAAACCACGGGGAAAAATCAAACTCACACAAAGTACAGCATCAGCTGAAGGGCAGAATCAGAACCTGAACTTTTTATGCTGTAGAGAAGTTAATTTTGCTTAGTCTGTAAATCAAAAATAGCCTAGTGCTATAAACACCTTGTAAGAGAAATCTTAATAAAGATACATGAATAATTAAATGCCTACATAGGAATTTTTAAAGCAAGAAAAGAGAAAAAGGATCTTTTTTCCCCCCTGCAAAAATGCATAAAGGACAAAATTTCTAAAAGGAATAAAGCTGAACATTATAAATGAAGGATAATGGTACAAAATACAAAGACTCATATTTATCAGCCTTAGTTCTTTTTTTTTCCCCCAAGAATTAAAATGAAATTGAAGGGGGGGGGGGGGGGGGGGGGGGGGGGGGGGTGGGAGTGAGCGAGTGGCTGTGTGGTACTATTCCAGGAAGCCTTTTAAATTAAATGAGTTCTGTGATTGGTCTACTGTGAGGTTACGTGGAAAACTGTGCCAGCACAGGACAGAGGCAGGCAATGGAGCCCTGTATATTGGAGGCAGGGCCAGTTTAAGATGCTTACAAAACTGCAGCTTTAGCTAAGCTTTCTTCTTGCTTTCCCTCCTATAGTACTTTCATCTTTCTCTCTCCAGATATTCCAACAACATTATTTTGTCTCATCAATATTTTTATCCACTCAGAAGAGAAGCTCACTGTAAATATTTGTAAAACTAATTTCCACTCAGTCTTTCTGTCCACTGCCCAGTCCACTTCCAGTCTTTCTGTACCTGTGTGTCACCTCAGGGGCAGACACTGTCAGAGACTATTATTATTTGTATATTATGTAGCACTACAGACCAGATAAAATTAATTTTATGTACCTGTGGACTGTACTATATTACAATTACATAATGAGTGTCAGTGGTGATACTACTACTACCACCCTTACTTGTTCCATATTTGGTTTGTTTAACGTTATGAATATTTCATGTTTATCACTAAACAACTTTCATGTAACTGGCTCTCCTTCAAGTGAAGAAGCTACAGTACAGTTTCTGGATATATTTGCGTGTATTGTAAGAACTTGTCCCTGAAAGATTTTTTATCATTAATACTTTAATCTGTAATAAACTGTTAGCAGTAGTTAAGCTGTTTCCAATTGTGGCTTTGTTCTTTTGTTTAACACTTGCATGGTGGTAGATAACCTAACGTGAAATTGTCTACTCAAAAGCAAAGTGGATTATTTTTAACTCCACGCTGTCCTTCAATCTATCCAGGCATATGAGGATAACCAAAGTCCAAAAATCTTCCTGCCACTCCCAGAGAAAGAGACTATGCAAAGAACAGAGAGGTAATGCTAAAACAATTTTTCTGGTGAAGTAAAAGCTTAGTAATGTTTTTACTATTGCAATTTTTAAGCAACAGTATGAAGAGGACTCAGAGTGGAAGACAACCAGTCCTACCTGTTGCACAATGGTTGTTAGTTCCAGGCACAGTTGAACAATGTTGTTTTTCAGCAGTGAGTATTCTGTCACGCTGACAAATGGAGACCTGTGGAAAAAGGAAGGATATGTTTATACAGCGTTAAGGATTCTAGCTCCTGTTTACAGTATCAGCAGATATATGCAATATAGAGATCAGTTCTACACCACAGAAATGCGACACACATAATCATGACAAGCTTCAGCAGCAAGTTACACAACTGTTGTAAAATATGCCTTTGAAACAAGAAACAATGTAGGCAGAAGGATATAAACTGGATTTTGGCCAGAACATCAGAAGTTCTCGTTCTTGTGTAAAGTGGAAATAGGAGCTTCCAAATAACTGTAAGTAGTCCAGATTTCCTTTGTATGGCTCATTAAAAAGGCAGAATTTCTAGTAGGAAATGACTCTTCAGCAGCAGTTAGCACCTTAATTCAGAGAGCAAAGTAGTGCTTACTTAGTCATTAACAGCTTCCTGCACGCTCGGGTTTTCTTCAGGCTTTCCGAATTCTAGCTGAATCTGACCCTGTTTGAATTTACAAGAACTGACAAGGTCATAGCCCAAGAGAATATGACTGCTGGCATTAGGTTAGGAAGATGTCACCAGGATTATACAAATCCTGTAAAGGAGGGTCATTCACTCTCACTGTGATTTCTAAGGTGCCATTTATACATCCAAGAGCATTCAGATTTAAGATAAAGCTATCCGTTGCTATAAGCCCAAAGAAAGAGAAACAAAACATAAATGCTCTGATGCTATTTTATGTTTTGGTTTCTGTCTTTCCACAGTGAAAATTTTAACTACATTTATTCAGAGAGATACTTTTAATCAAATTCTCAATTTGTAAATGAAAAAAAGACAACAGTGGTTGACTGTTGAGCATTAACCAACACCACAACTGTAACCAACATCAATCCTACTCTTGATAAAAACTCTAATAAGAAAATTTAATTTTCAGACCAAGCAAGTACTAGAATTTATTTTGAATATTCTTAATTGATTTGCTCAACTCCAGCTTTTTTGTGTCTTTTTGATGGCTGAAGGACAGTTCAAACTCCACAATCTTTTCTTCCTTACCCTTCTTTCTGAAATTACCGATGACATTACCACTTGTGGCAGCGAGATGTCAACTTGGAATAGCACAAAAGTATTCATTTTGCACAAAATACTACTAGACTGAAAATAATCTGGAAAAGTAACTAGAGAAAACTTTAACACCCTCCTGAGAGACAAGGGTACTACATTTTTGCCTCCAATATTTGAGAAATTTGCAAAACAAAATTTAGAGCCAGAATTCCAGAACTGCCATTTTAATATTAGAATAAAAAAGTACAAGAGAAAAAGAAAGAACAAATACAAAACAACCCAAAGAATTATTCTCATGCATAAAGGATCAAGGAATAGTAAATTACCTGTCCAGCCAGGCTAGTAAGTTCTTGGCAGCACCAATCAGGTCAACTACAGAGGTAAGGAAATCATTTGGCAGTCGTCTGGAGGCCCTGCCATCATAATGGCCACTCCTCCTTCTACCCGTTATAAAGTTCTGAAGATTTTTGGCTGAGGCATTCAGCTTGTGAGACAGAGTTCTCAGGTTTTCGGTCTCCAATCCATAATTCTGAGGGGAAAGAAGATGATACACAATTAAGTGAAATAGTGTGTCGTCAGTTATGTGAACAAAACTATGAGGTTAAACATTCTGAATGGTATTGGCTGAAAGGATAGGATAGTTACGGACGCCTGGTGTTAGACTAAGCAACAGGTTACTTTGTTTAGAACATACAGGATGCATCCATCCTGTTAGCACAACAACCTCAGCTGTCATCAACACTTACAATGCTACAGTCCCCAAACCCATTGGTCCAACTAAGTCACTGAGGGGAAGGCAAAAAGAATCCCCATATGCTGGGTCTCAAGGTCCTTCCCATTTTCAAAAAGTGAAGATGAGTCAGTCCACTATCCCCTACTTGCTATGGTTCAGTGTTAACCAGCCTTTAACAGATAACAGAGGTGTATCTGTTACCTCTGAGAGCAGGTCTTTAGCAGTCCCACTGCACTGGATCTCACTCAGATTTGTGTTAGTCCCTCTACTAACTTGTAATAACCTAGCCTTAGCAGAACTTCCCTTTCACTTATGCTGTGAATAAGATATAAAATTTTATATGACCTTGGTGACAGCCTTTTACAGGAAAATTCCTTCCTGATCCCTGCTATTGTTGGTGAGCAGCTGTCCCATATGTAATGCAATATGGGAACAGTCAAATCAGGTCAGAGCAAAGACGTGGTACTCCTGTTTCCAATGACCGCGTAGGGAAGAATCTGAGCACAAAGAAGGCATGTAGTAAGAGCTGTTAATGGTTCAGAGACTTCAGCCAGTGACAGTGTCTTCATATTTAACAGTTCTTAATGCATTTTATTCCACTGTTCTAATTCTGATGGCGGGAAGGGGGGGGCGGTTTGAATCTAAGTAAAGTTTTCTACACACAAGTCCCTTTTCCTTTTATCCACATTCCTTCATCCGTGTCTCTGTCCTTTTATCACCAAGCCAATTCCCCACTTAGACCCAGCTAACAAGCACAAAGATATCTCAGCTCATATACATTAAATAATTCACTCAAATTCACATAGAAAGTCTCAAACAGACTGAATTGAACCCAGATTTCTTGCTGCTACAACAGGATGTAGCATATGAAAGAATTTAATGGGCATTTAAACAAAATCAACATTCAGAGTATGAATTGATTGCCCACTATTAATTTCAACTATGCATATGTTACAGAGGAAGACTGATCATGAGTATCACATGTTAATTTTTTGCCTAAACTTCTTCCTCAAAACAGAGAATAAAGAACAACAAACACTACACAATGTCTTGACTAATACCAAGCTTATGAAACAGGATTGTATGGAAGTCAAACAAAATACAAACAAATGCTTGGTAAAGTTGTTTGGACCACTTACAGCTGGTACTTAGGACCATGCCTTCTCTGCCAGCCATTCTCCCTCTCAAAGTTCACTCTGAAAAATAAATCAAGCCCCCTGCCCTCCAGCTTGGAGGGCAACCTACAAGGAATGGAAACACTTTGCTCTTTTAGTTAGCGCACTGCAAAGAACTTAGATTTTAAAATAATTTTAGATACGAGGGGTGGAATTAGTTTCACTGTTACATACATATCATGCCTAAAGCATCACAATCAGTCAACAAGGTTTGGAAGCATCCAGTTTAAGATTGAATAGTGAAACAAATGAAAGTTACATTGGTTTAGCTACAGACAAGAACAATTCTCTTCATCTTTTTTCCAGAACAATTACTGTACAGTTGGCAACAGCATCACTAAAGTAAATCATTCTGTTTTGGAAAAGTTTAAAGTTAAAAAGCAAGTTGTATTTGATATTAGTATGCCATCTGTTTAATATTTGCAGCTAATCTTTCTCTTATTAAAGCACTGAAGGAATTCCCTCCCCTGCTCTATTTTTCTCTCAATTTCTACCTGTGCCAAGACGATGAGTAAGTGGATGTATTGGGATGCCTTTACCAGCTAGCAACCAGCTAGGCAATGCTTGGTTTCCCCTCAGAAAGAGTTTGAGTTTGCACACTCAACAACACATTACAAGGATGATGAACCAGATCCTCCTGTTTTTATTTCCAAGTCCAACCTTCCTTATCCCTGTGGAAACAAGCCAAAAATGTTTCTCCCAATAATTCATTATTGCATAAAAGCTCTGGAAACCTGTCAGTTTACTTTCAAAAGCCAAACAAGAAAGGAAACAGTTTGACCAGTGAATCTGTAAAAGCCAGTACACTTTTACCAGAGAGTAAATGCCTGAATTTTGAAGAAAGTATGCTAGATACTAGCAGTGTAATCAACTGGAGCAATCTGCCGAAGACATTGGAAAACACAGAGAATTGAACAGAAAATGTGTTTGAGGAAATCCACCTAGTGAGCAAGTTCTTTGTTTTATCTTAAAGTTTATTAACATGCCGATGGCAACCTCAATTAATATCAATATAAAATTTAAAATATAGCAAAGCATAGATAAAATATGTCCATAAAGATAATCAGGAGATGAAAGGAAATTTTTCAGCACAGTGAAAGTGCTGATGCAAGTTAGTGGGTTAGCTGAGACTTAGCAAGACACAATAAAGGGGAAAAGATAAAAATATTACAAAAACAACAGTGAATCAATATCTCTGTAGAAGACAGAGACATTGTATTGCTCTAAAGTTAAGCTTGCCTCAAATCCAAGATCTTCATTTTTAAATGAAACAACCATAACCAACTATAAATTGGGAAAAAGAATGGTTAAAAATAATCCTGAAAGTATTGCCACCAAGCACCTCATCCTAATTTACTGCACCACAGCTCACCTCGTGTCAGCTGCACAGGTTTCTCTCTCTACTGCCACCCCCCGCGCAATCTGTTTGCCAGGCTGAAGCTTGGATGCCATGAAGCCCCACAAGCCCCACTGTGGCAGCACATTAGAAAACTACTGAAGGAAGCTGTGGCCCCTTTCGGGCTTCCCCAGTCAGCAACCAATGTGACGGGATATCAAAGAGATTGTTCCAGAGGAGAAAAGAGCAAACAAGTGGGTACACACACAAATTTGAACCACATTGATTATGATTCAGTGAATGTGCTTGAAAGCACGGACGGAAGAGTTGCAGTTTAACATAATGAGTGAGTAGGTGGGTAGCCTTGTTCCGTATACATGACACTGCAAGTATCCAGATTTCTTCTAATTCCTGTAGGCATCTCATCTGCATGATGCTAACTGAGATAGTCTCAAAACTGCCAGACTAAATCATTATCGCAGCTACCACATCAGATTTCAGTTTTCACAGCCCTATATTCTGCTCTTACTGTGTTAAATACGTGCTGTTATTGTGAGACGCACCATAGAAATGATGCTCCTGAGCCTGTAAAATTCTATCTCCTGGCAGGTGATTTCTTTCTTGCACAGTAAATCCTTGATATAATTTCTGGTTTAAAAAGAAAGAAAACAAAAAAGAAAAAACCTCTAAAAGGGACAAGAAGGTGCCATTAGCATAGGCAGGTTTATGTTTCACATACTAAGAATAGGGGAAAAGAAACCAAGCAAGGTTTGCTCCATTCCCTGGTTTTGTTTCATGATGTTTAAGGCTGTCGCATAGTAATTTTTACCAAATTACTCTATTGGTAGACATGGACATACAGGTTTAGAGAACGAATACTGACACTATTAAAGCGACCCCAAACACTGTCTTTCTAGAAGAACTACACAGCTGTGCAGTTTCTCAAATTATCACGAAATCTGGATCATGAAACTGCCTAGTAGACTAAAGCCAGCTATACTCCATTTCTGTCAAACGGGCCTGACAGGTATATTGCAGAAAGGGTAACTGCTGGAAGAAAGGGCCAAAGTAGCAGCAAATCTTGAACACAGAAAGATGTGACTGGTAAATCTATTAAATGTTTACTTAAGCTTCTTCACATAAAAGCACTGTTCAAACAGTAAGAAATTCTGTGTATTCACTGAGTGTAATATATGATAGCATTATTACTTTCACATACACAAAAAAGTTACATGGAGATTATCTGATTTGTTCAGTGACAGACCGATTCAGTAGTATATTTTAGATTGGAGCTCAGCAATTCCTGAAGCCCTATTCAATGACAGGAGTCGGAAAGAAAGATTTCAAGAGGTAGAAATTAAACACAAATGTGAGATCAGAGCCGGTCAAGCTTATTACAGAAGAATATCATTAGCAATAACGCCAAGCTGAAGCTGTGCTTAAGGTGACGCTTGTTAGTGAGATGTACAACTGACAGGTTTAAGGATAAGCCTGCTTGCTGCCTGTAAAACACAGTTTTCAATTTCAGCAATTTCATTCTCTAATCCTTCGATTTTCAAACTATCAGTGAGAATTCCTCGCCACCCCCCTCGTTCCCCTCTCCTGTTCAGTTTGAGATGCCCGTTTCAGTGTTCCTAGTGATTAGGATTGTTGTAAGGCAGTGAGAGGGAAGAGCCAGGACAGATCACCTCCAGGGCTTTTGCAGTTGATAGGTTTTTTTGAAGCACAGAAGAAACAGGTGGCTGTTGTCAGAAGCGCTAGAATTCAGAAGACAGGAGAGAATACCCGGTTTTTTGAACAACCTGAAGTAGGCTCTTGTTTTTACTAGTGCAGAGTGGAAGATACTATGTAAGAGATACGTTGCTGAATATTCCCTGTAGTTAAAAATGCATACTGGAAATTGAAAAATAGGAAACCTGCATCCAAACAGATATTTCTTCCTTTTTATGTCATAAATCCAAAATGCAGAAATAGCTAAATACACTGTGACAATGAACCCCCCTGCTCTGTGTCTGTATCACAATTCCAGCTAAAAACTCTGCTTGTTTTGTACATACGTTCTGGTATGAAGTTCCATTTTTAAAAGACAGTGGGAAAATTGAGTACATTTTTTATCCATCCAACAATATAACACCTCTGTTTTTCACATATTCAAAGAAATGGAATGAAAAAAATCTTCCGTTCTGGCTTAGGGTGCTTTCATATCTTATTGTGTGTATGTAATAACATCACAAGTTAGTATTATATGCTAATAAAACTATCTGTGAAAATTTTAGCGACTAAGA